GACCTTCCCTTCTTGCGTCTAGCACTTGTTCGGTACGACCTCGAAAACTTAGGCCTAAAGTTGGCGTATGTAATATTAGTGACGAAGAAATAGATGCCTATATTTTACAAACGTGGGTTGCCCATCCCTTAGGGTCAAAGGAATTTCAAGAGGTATCTGTATTGGTTTAGTAGCCTTTAAAACTATTGCTAAGAAAGGGTAAAATTTCAATAATGAAGTTTCAACTATCAGAGACTTACAAAGTTCCAAATCATTTACTTTAAATTTCATGTGAAGCAAGATGTTTAGTTAAAGTACTTAAAGTATTTTAAATATTTCCCCAAATTTTTATCCAATCGAGTCACTAACATTTAAAGACACTTGAGCACACACCAGTATAACATTTACCATGGAGTATTATGTAACAGAAAGCGAGTACGAACTTGAAATACTTTTGCAAAGGTTGCTTCTTCGTAAAAACAGAGGAAGCCTCACAAAGAATTAACCCCGCGCCAAGTAACGTGAGTCCTTCCACAAAAACGTGTTACAATTACAACATCATTGTTAAGTTTAAGGCGAGCAATCTTTGTTAAACTTAATGAATTTTCATTCGATCTTTCATAAGAATTATTAGAATTTTTTACCTCATCTAACAATAGCTCATTATGCTTGAAGAAATTGTCGTGTTGTTTTTATACACGAACTTTAATTGTAAGTAAAGTCAACTTATTATTTTCATTTATCTCTTTGTGAAGTATTTTGTTTATTCGTAAAGAGATATTCCAGAAAATGTCTTTCCGTGATATCATATTTATAAAGAAACAGTCATTAAAAATGATAGTCACGTTATCATCACACGCAATGTAAAACCAGTGTACTTTGCTTTCTTTGGGTGCAGCCTCGATTAGTTTAGACAAGATATGAAAAAAGGAAAAAGATTCTGTAGAAAAAATGTTACAGATAGCATAATAATCCAAATCAAAGTATGAAATCGTAGCATGATTTCAATAATTTTCAATATGGGGTTCCCCAAGGTATGATTGTTGGTCCTACACATTTTATAAACTATGTGTAATCATCGTACTAGTAATAACATTGTATATTATTTAAAAGCACCACTTAGTTAAAACTTATACATACATAATTGTCTAGTTAACAGTTTCGGCGGTCGATCACATAGCGCGCTGACGAAAGACGTGACGTGTTATATTAACAGTCAAATTTGAATTTATATAGGTAACATTGCTACGTCATGCATACACGACTACGTTTCGATTTATGTAGCAGTAATTACAGGGGTTGAAGTTAAAGTGAAGGGCTTAAATTAAACTATCAAAGCTGTATTAAATATTATTGTTAGAACAAGGGAGATTTATATTAAATAAAGTATGACTTTGAGAATTGTTCCCATTTTATTATATACGTTAATATATATTATTAGGAGTTTAATTTGTGCAAAGATTTAAGTTTTCCATTAACAAGGTTTATTGTAAGAGGGGTTTAGCTTGGTGGTCTCTAATTAGGATACGTCACCCCATCTCTTCCCTGGTGAGGGGCGCCTGCAGGATTATAATGAGGGGAGAGCGGGTTGAATTCACTTTTCGCTACATGAAAGGTGATATACGCTAGAGTAGTCGTGTCAACGTCCGCTTACTTATAAATTATAAAACATTACCCTTTGATGTTCCCAAATTTTGAAAAGAATGATTCGTACAGTACGAACAAAAATATTTTAATCAAGTTCTACTTTCCTTCTTATTTCATACGGGCGTCATCTGTTAGTACCATCCAGTCCTTTGACCCTCCACAGCCTGAGGCCTCTTGTGTTAGCGATTTATTATGACCTAGCCTTTGGTGTCGCACCCTAAATCTTCGTGATCAAATTTTAACGAAAAACTTTTTTATGCTATCAGTAATTTTCAATTACTCTACATAAAAGTATCGGACCATAGATATCGTGCATGCGTTATCATATGGTCAATATAATTAATCCTGGTGCAAACTGCAAAAAAATATCACTTTACACTGCAAAAGTCATCATTATACGCGTAAATTCAACACAAATAATATTATGCGTCGCTTTTCCGTCTATCTGAAAAACACACGTTATCACACGCAAACGCATTACGTGAAATCCACAAATAAAATTTATTATCGATCGTACGTAGTGCAAACATGTTTTTTCCGAATCTGCGTAGATAAAAAAAAACGAAATGCATTCGTCATTTTGTTTTCAAATTCCGGCTACAATTAGATAACCCGGGTTCATTATCTCGGCGCGACACGTGTAAATTTTGGAGGCCAAATTTTTTTATTTTCATTTTTTAGATACACAGAAATAAAATGCACTTGTTGTGTCATATATTTCGTGAAGGTTTTTTTTCGTCTACACGTGCAGTTGATAGACGAGATGGGTGTCAGGAAAATAGCTTTTGGCTAGCTGCGTGTGTTTAAAATGTCTGCGAGCAGTCACAGGGTTGACTGAAAACAATAGATTTTTTTATGTATGTACACTATGGTGTCGCTGTCGAGTATTGTGTAATCTACAATAAATGGGGCATTAGGGAAACCTTAATGAAAAATATTCACCTACTTCCTCGTATCAGATAAGATTGAATCGAATATGCGCGTGTAAAGTTTTAGGAATTCTGCAATAATTTACAAAGCGCTATTTTTAGCAATCGGTGTATTTCGAGCGTTACGAACAATCTTGATACTACTAATATTTTTGTATTGAATCCAACTCGTTTTGGGATCTACATAATATATGTTTGTAGTAAGTGTGGAAGTAATACCCCATAAATCGGACATCGCTTGTGTATCATACTCATAACATATGATATTTACTACATAAACTAAAAGAGGTTTTGTTATAGGGAAAAAATGTTACGCAAAATGTAGAAAAACTATAAAACTACATGGACTGAATGATAAATCAAAAACTATCACGACCGAATCCACGAAAAGTGCCAATATGCAGCAGACTGGCGACAAAAAAAAATTGATAATATATAGCGCAAACATTGCCAAAAAAATTTTATATAGAGGCAATTTATCGCACGACGATGTCAACGACCTGTTTATCGCTATAGCAAGATTTCGCGGACATGCATGCCTGTACGACATAATGTAGGTAGGCACTAAGTGATAAAAAAGTGATAATAAAATTTGCAATATTACGAAATATGTACAAATGTATAATGGTACTGCTGATACAGAGACCTTCGCAGACGTTTATGTATATAACAATTTACTAAATAAACATATACATGCACGTGTAGGTATGTATATTTTTTTGTTATATAATATTAAACTTCCCATTTTTTCGATTATTCAAAATCGTGCATTGTTTCGTGTGTTTAACATTCATATCGTTTCCGAATATGACATCATTCCAGAACGTTGTATTAACGCTAATAATAAAATTTACTGTTTTATTCTCAAAATTATAAAAATGGAAAAATTCAAGACGAATATCACCCAAAACCTCAAAATAACCTTACCGTTATTACTAGTAAAGCCTAAAGCAACATTCTGTAACTAACCATATGTTTCCAGAAAACAAAGCACCTGCCTACCTAGTTCAGAATTTCATGGAAAACCGAAGCGAAGGTTTGAAAACCGTGACGCAGATTGATCGAGTAATGTCAAAAAGTACTAACGACGTACAAACCTACGCAGACGCACATAGTAACCTTACATAAGATGACTTACTACATACAAAGGAGATAAGATACTGATTAAAGCACCTATGACAATTTAGGAGGATGAATCAAAAAATGCTATGAGTATATATCACACTACCCTGATGACTGTACTTCAAATACTACGTAAAACATTCACTGGTGGTATGCAAAAACACAGAACATTTCCATCAAATAAAACCATTTCGTAAATGACTAAATACCATGTAATAGAGATTCATGCATTGCCATTCATAAAATGGCTGAGCGATAAATCTTGATAATTTTCGTAGCAAAATAACTGGAAATGTCAAGGCCAAATAAATTTTCTAATTATATAAAGGAGATGTGATCAATATCCTCTTAATTGTGAAGATCATCGTCCGAGAGATCCATAAAAATCAAGCTGAGCTTCATTTTATACGATAATTAGTCATAATTTGATAGTTTGACATTCGAGTAAGTTACAGCTGGAAAGTTTACAATCTTCTCGTCATAAATTAAACGGCTTGCTTAGCAACAAATTGACTAGATAAAATGTAGATGAATTTCTTTTTCGGAACGCTAAATATTGGCGGTATCGACTCATGACTTGAGAATTTCTAGCTGTACTTTTTACATCTTGTGGTTTTGTTTCGGAATGAAATGACTTCAAATTGAATTATGTTCTATGATTTGAACATTCACAGGAAAACGATGTAATACTTTCTAGGAAAGAGTTTATAAATCAATAAGGTATACAAATACCTTAAAAACTACTCATTGAATGGCTACTGTTCAATGATAAAACAATGTAATTATACATATTCCATACATTGTCAACACAATGAACATAAAGCACATTATATCTCCCATAAGACAAATTACATTCTTCGTCAGCGCATTATTCGTTACAAAATGGCAATATATCCGCGTTTTTTTAACAAAGTATTTAAATTAAGGACTCAAGAGTTAAGGCCTCGGTCAGCGTAGGCTGAGGTTATTAGCAAGGCAGTGACAGTTTTTTTTGTTAGCAACGCACAACTATACAATGCGACATTGGCCTCGACTTTTCAAAATTGCAAGACCGTAGAACAAAATGATCCGTTCAAAAAGCCTGTCTACTATCGGTAGCTAGACATAATAAAAAATAAAAAATCTCAATACAAGTGTAATCAGGGACCAGAATAAAAAGTAGTGAAGGTTGCATATTGACTGATCAAATAGCCCCAAAACTGGCTAGAAAAAGAAAAATAAATTGTTCCTGTTTTATTGTTAAAATAGGTCGATCTAAAGTCTCTACCCATTTCCAACGAAAACTTAAGTTCGTATTTAGTTGTATATTAAAATTTCACCTACCTTCGCAATACAGAGTGACATCGGCGAGGCTCTCTGAATTCCACAAATTCGCAAACGAAGTGGCCAGGTTTGAACCAAAGCTGTTCCATTTTAGGCAGTACTGTTGCTGCTGGGAGTCCATACCCGGGCCGCCTCTTATTCCTGCCCTGTAAAAGAAAATTCACGTCAGTATTTTTTTTTTAAAGCACAAGAAATGTCATACTACGTTGTAGTTTCTATTACGTCTAGTGCTCGATATCCACAAATACATTGATAGAGCTAATAGAAATAGGAAGGAACAAATAGGCAAATATCAATTAATACAAAAATATTAAATTATCTCCAACAGGAAAAATCAGAATAATAGAAGCTATTATATCAATTTCGCGTAAAAATGAGATCAACGAAAACATTTTCAACAATAATCTGAACACAATAAAGTTTAATATTGAACGAACCACCACTGAAACTTGGACTACACTCGGCCCACTTTATTTCCTAACTACTGAAACTTAGCGTCAAAAATTCTAATAAAATAAGGGGTTATTTCTATAATTTCATTGTTCGGGGCACGGTTGGGCTGTTCGAAGGTCGAAGGGTGAACAACCGATGCATGATCGATGCCGCCCGCCCGTTGAATACGTAATTCCCAGGATTCCCACGGCTGGGCTCCGGGTAACGTTGAAGGAAGGAATTTATTGAGGGCTATTGTGTGCGATGGGAGTTTACCTACATACCCCATAGCATTTTTGTCTTTATCTGGCACATAATGATTTGTTCGTATTGTATTGGTAGGCTGAAATATTGTCATGCTCTTTGATAGGAAATGTGTTATTAAAAATTGTTTTCGTATACTTCTAAGCTGTGTTTGAAATCGTAACAACATTATCTACTTCGTAATCTATTTATTACTGTTAATGATAAAATGAAGTCTACTAAGTTTCAAGCTTAGTCATTAGCTGTTAGATTAGGAACTACTTTATTTGGATACATTTTACTCTTAATATCGCACTCGAAACCGTCAAGACAAAAATGTGAACCAAATTATTCGTATTACCAAAAAACTATACTCATACCTATTGGTAACCCAAACTCAAGAAAATGCACTTATTTCAAAACACATTCTAAATCACGAACTTCCTTTGAACCTAATTGAATCTGAGAGGTCCCACGTCATATAGATAGTTACTACAGCACCGGAGTTTCCGATAGACCTACGTCATCGTGCTCTATATACAGATGCATATGTACAATGAACTACATAGCCGGCGCTGCATCTATGTAAGTGTTCAACGATTATTGATTGACCCGTTAACCTGTTTCCACGCAAGTACTGTGCTTCAAACCTACTATTAATTAATAATGGCGTTGTATAATTCAAGACTCGTCCACGTCACGTGTCCATAATTACTGTTTTCCGGCTTTCAGTTTCACCTTCGAAAATGTAATCGAATTCAAGTAAGTTCCAATTTACAAATGGTTGTAAAAGTCATAGGGGTCATGTTGTTAGTTCTTAAAATAAGGAACCTGTTGGTTGTGAATTCATTTGCGACAATTCGCGGCTCGAACTCACGTGTGTCGTCAAGGATGAAGCCGAAATAAACACATTAATAAATGCAAACAAATTGATGATATGAACTGTAGAACAAAAATAAATGAAATAGTAAGTTGAAAGCAGAAAAAATATGTAAATCTACGATTAATGAAAAGGCTTATTTATGTAAAAGTGAATTAGGTTTTGCTTAAACACTTAACTTGACATTAAAAAGATAAAACCCCCTACCGACCAAAAATTAGACCCATATTCAGGCTAAACTAAGTACTATGGACTATATCCTAAAGGGTTGTTCCAGCAAAGTGTTATTAATACGAGCGCAAAAGTTGTAAAATTTAATATTCAAATGGATTCAAAACGTGGGGAAACTACCCTTTTAGACGATAAGGATTGAGTTCAATTTTTAATGGGGATTAGTTAATTGTTAAAAGATAAACTCAGTAGTGAAACTAAATATTTGGAGTAAGAAGCCAAATGATAGAATAATAATTACGTTATAGACATAATAATGTATTTTAATCAAAACAAGACGACTTCCGCGTGCTACACGTGTTGTTCCAGGAAGAATAAAAATGTAACTAGGCAGCCATGGACGATATGCTGCTAACTATAATATACGATTCTATTGGAATATTAATTCAATTAATTAGGCGGAAAAGCTACCAAAAATAAGATCGCACGTGTAAGTACAAAATGAAACAAATTGTGTCAGAACGAATCTCTTAAATCAGTGCCAAAGTTTCTACAAGTCAACCTCTCTTTACAAGTAAGCTACACGACACGTTACGTCAAATCTATTTGACACTAATTTATCATTCGCTGTATGTACCTCGGCTTCTTGTGTTTTTTATTCATCTTCTCTTTCTTCGTCTTCTTGTATTTTGCGAGATCACAAAATGAATATTTCAGTTTGAAGTTATTCAATTCCCTAGCTCACAAAGAGTCTTAGGTTTGATATTAACGTCACACAAAATTGTCGTTGAAAGACTTCAAAGTTTCTTTTCCTACTTCAGCGGAGTGAACAATACGATGTTTCACATTAGCATAATTAGGCAGTCACCAAACCGTGATCCGTTTACTAAACAACGTGCGAATCAGTAGTCGCCTTCGCGAAACACTCCCGCACCCTTTACCCGAGAGTTCCAGGCAGGTTATAACGAGCGTCTAACAAAGGTACGCACACTGCACCGACAGCCAATACGTTATCGATTCGATTCCCATCAGCTCCGTTACAGCCTAACTGTATATTTGCATGCGTGCAACACACTGAACCAGTTAACTTTGAACCTCAATGACTCCATTAGCGTCCCCTTTTTGGGGTAATTGTAGGCGTACGCGAGGCGAGAGGTAGGCCTAGATAGACTGGCCGAAGTAGAATTTCGGTTGCGACCCGGTTCCGGCATGCAGCACACGCGCAAGCGTACTAGCCGCGCGGCGGGAGCGGCGCGCGGGGAGCGGCTGCACCGAGTTGCGCAAACTGACGCAGCGGTCACTCTGCAGCCGCGCACAGTAATTGAAATCGAGTGTCATCAGAATAAGAACGATAATGGCCCTTATACACCTCCATGACCTATTAACATCTTTCCAAGCTCTATTTCCAAATATTGATTTTTAGTAACTGTTGCTTTATCAGATACCTATGTAGTGAACCACTTCCCTTAACTAGTTTGAATGTACAGAAGATAATAATGGGTGAAACTTTACGTAAGTAACTTCAAACTAACAACACTGCAAGTATCGTTACAAACACTTTAGATTCCACTAGTTGCATGTTGAGCAACTAGTGAAATGCAAATCGGTGCTAATTCAAAACCATCAAAGTAAAGTTTCGTTATATAAATCTGTTGATCTACATTAACTTATAGCTATATGTATTACTGACCTACTTTGAACGTGCATATTACTTAAATCAACATGATTTATGAGGAAGATCACAAATGAAATATCATAAAAATACGTCATCAAAAACAATAATCCATTGATCATTGTTCCATAATAAAAATAAACTACATAGATTTAATAAAATAAGACTACAATTACCGTTTGCGAGGATGCGGCATGTAGGTCTTCATTCCGACTTCTAAATTCGAAAATTGGAACGAGTGCGCGACTGCGATGATTTAACAGTGTGCAATGGTCGGGCCCCTAACGGTGCTCAGACAAAGGCCTGCATCGAGCGGCTCGCAACTATTGCACTGACTTCCCAGCGCCCTTTACCCCGCGCCCTGCTCCCCTCACCTCCATCACTATATATCTATCTAACAAAAGTATAGAACACACTGAAAATTGCTACGCGGGCGCTACGAACGGCTATTATTGGAAACCCGTGTAGAGAGCGTTTGAATACAACTTAGACCTTAGGAATTGATGGTTTAAACATTTTGCCGTATCCTTTGTGGCGTTTAATTGAAGTAGGTAATGGATTCAACGTTGTAATTAGGAAAGTTGTTTCATAATAGGTATATATTCTTATAGAGCTTTTGTATGATGTTAGGTTTTATTGATGTTATGAAATGTGAAATTCTTTTAACGTAACGTTTGTTAGAAAATATTTAGTTTACAACATAACGTCTTTATACGTTCAAATTGTTGAAAAATACCAACAATAATCTACATGAATCAAATCTGTATCACGCTATACATTGTACGGTGCACGATCATACAAATATCTAGTCAGAAACACAATTGCCGCACTTAAAACTTCCTCATAGAATGCCCAGCTTTCTAGGTCAAATGGGTTGGACGACAGTAGAAAATGCATTTAGTTATAAAGCTAGTAACACACTGGCGAACCGCAACGGCGCGGATCAGCGTTTATGAACCACAACTAGACTTAGTATTGCGGTTATGACTTTTACTGCTTTAAAACCGACTTTAATTTGTTTGTTGATTCATATTGTACGATTTCATAACAGCCACAATTGTCTTAACGAAATAAATCGATCAATTCTATGCTGAATACAAAAGAAATTCAAAGACTAATAATAACGTATCAGAAGACAAAAACAACGCATTTCTTCCAACACAAATCGATCCATGACTAATGTATAAATAATGAGTAATCGCTCACCAAAACGGGCGCCCGGATATCCAAAACACCATTTAAATGAAATTATATTCGACACGTGCTTGCATTGGCAGCGGCGCCATCACATAAAAATAAATAACATAACATAACATAACATCACGCCTTTTTATCCCCGAAGAGGTAGGCAGAGGTGCACATTTCGGCACTTAATGCCACTGTACAATGTAACACCCACTTTTCACTATTTATGTTATGAGTCCCATGTAATAGGGGGTGAGCCTATTGCTTAAGAATAAAAAACGAAACAAAGCGCTTCTTTATTTTCAAAGTTGTAATTCTCACAGAAAACAATCATTATCTTGGTTACAAGACATTGTTTCTGAGGCGTGACGATGCCACGATGGTTGGATAGTTACTTGCAGCGAAGAAAGCCCTGTATCGGTGTTCTGTTACGGTTTTCGCGCGTGTGTACTGGCCCTTGGGTTCCTACCAAACGACGGTGTATTACGCAAGTCGGTGTCGAAATCAAACGCAGCATGAGAACGGGTTTTCTAAATTCCCACACGACAACGGTGCAATGATGAACTGCATGTACTACTGGTACCTACAACTGTTTATTTTTGTATCGAATTGATTTTAATTGGAACAGGTGGACGGGTAGTCGGTTACGACAATTTAAGATCGTAAATATTAGTTTTTATTGCGCATGTGTACTTTTATGTAGTTGGAATTGGAATGACTTTATTAAAATCAGTTGTAGATTTAATTTGACAGCTGCAATGATAAGAGTTTTTAATTGTTTTTGGGAAATTGTTAGTGAATATTGGTTAACTAAATATAATTTAGTAGAAAATAGCTTTGATATTATTTATTTCAATTTCATACAAATGTGTACAGGTGGACTTAATGCCTTGGGCATTGTCTCCCAGTCAATCTTTAAGCAGTGCAGAGATGAAAGTCGTGGTAGTAGTAGTAGTAGTATTATCAAGTAATCACTTTTGCATTACACTTCAAAAAGCACTTTTTGTATGAAGAATGTTAACCACATTGACACATTACGAATAATACATAACATGTTGTATTATGTACAATACTATCAGGCACTTATTTCAAATCAAAAATAATCTAATTCATATCCATACAAATCTAAACTTTAAGCTACTATTAAAAGAATCCAATTTTGATCAAATTACAAAACTAAACTACACAGTACACAATCAAGTCAAAAACTGGACCCGACTCTAGAATCATACGAAAAGAAGCATGATTAGTAAAAAGCCAACACAAAGCCTAAGTTACTTTGCATTGCAAACAAAAAAAAACTTTCTAATGCAACGTTTTTCCGGCGCAAAACGCGTTGTCGGGTCGCAAGGCCCGTCAAAATAGAAAGTTGTATGACACGCGTTGCAATGCGTACGATCGTCTCTAAAGTAAAAAGATACAGGGGGGCCAACCATAGTCTTATAAAATTGAAATCTATGAAATCAGTCTCAGATTTCTTTAAAACATTTGAAAATGTAATGGCTACTGCTATGCTATGCTTAAATTGAAACAACATTTGATCTGTATCTGTCGTCTACATCTATCTACATCTCAGTCAGTTCATTTGATTTCCGTGTTTTTGTTTATTCAAAACCACTTGATTATCTCAAAAGTGCAATCAAATTTGATCGTTGAATGAATGAGCCTTGAAAAACACAATAAACAAGATGGTTTTTGAGAAAATACATCAAAAAAAAAAACAAAACGAAAATGTTGCGCCATATAAAAACATTTAACTTTGAAATCTCAACACACAGTAGACAGTCTAGCCAAAAATAATCTCTAAAAAAACAAAAATACTCCCAAACATAATAAAAAATGAGATAAAAATCAGCTCGCGCGCAGCTCTCCCTGCACATGCGTACGCGCATGCGCGAACCAGTGCGTGCATTATGAAATAATGCCTTTCACTCCCTGCACTACGAGCCTTTCTCTTATACAACGGTACACGGGAACATAGTAATCGCTAATTAGTTTATTTGACATGAGTAATTACCCCCAGAATACCTACAAAGAAAAAAATACGTTATGATGCAAAAGATAGTGTGACTATTTGAATAATCATCGCTTTTTATCATGTTTGCAATTAATCTCTACACTTTACGTAATAGGCGGTCATGATATTACCTATACCTTTTTTTCGCTACTTATTCATTTGTTTTGACTGATGATAATACCTTGCTACCTTGTTTATATTATTTCCTTTTTGCTATTTAACCTTTCTTTAAGTTGAATATTAAGTATACAATAACAATTCTGGCATTTAATGGATATCAATAACATGTATTTTTACAATACTCATATAGGAAAACGCGTAATAAAACTAGACAAAATATTGTTGTGTTAAAGAAACAAACTGGCTTTCTAAATATAGTATTGTTTTGATAAAATAATATACAGGTGCTTTTTAAAAATAAAAAGATATTCGTCACAATCTGCATTCCGTTGCAATTCAATCAAAACCTGTTTTCATGCCAACCACGGCGTAATATCTTAAATATTTGATGCGATACGCTGTCATATTGAAATCAGTTCATAATGAAATAACATAACATAACATCACGCCTTTTATCCCCGAAGGGGTAGAGGTGCACATTATGCCACTGTATAATATAACACCCACTTTTCACTATTTATGTCGAGTCCCATATAATAGGCGGTGAGCTTATTGCCATATACCGGGCACAATTCCAGATTCCGTGCTACTACTGAGATTTATTGTAAAAAACCAGTAATACTTTGCACGACCCGGGATTCGAACCCGAGACCCCTTCCTTGCCCGGCAGTCAAACTTGCGTAATTAAATACTTTTGTTTTTTTTTCGTTTTAAAGGGCAAAGTGAAGCAGTAACTAATTATGAATTTATTGTGTAATAATCTTTATAACGAACACAAATCCAGAATGCGAATTTTCCAAAATTTTTTGGATTAAAATAGAGAATTGCGTCGAATAGACTAAACATACAAGATCTAAAAAATATTATGCCAGTTGTATTTGTATCCCAAACTGTATCTCCCTAGAATCTACAAATACAAATATGAATAACATAACAAACATAATTACGGGTTGTTTACATAAGAAAACTACCGGCAAATTAATAGGTTTTTAAAATCAATCGCTTGCCGCCTAATTACAGCCAATAAAGGTAACTAAATAAATAAATTGTTAATTGATATATCGGCAAAACTTAACTTGGCAAACTTCAGATGGACAGCATAAAATACTGAGAAGTATTAGACCACCTACAACGATTCGAATAGTTCATTCTTAGAAGGAATATAATAAATTATATTACGTTTTATATAGGAAACTCATCAAAGATTGGTCTTGATGATCCATAAATTCCTGTTCAAACTGCGGACGAAATATTATAGCCTAACACCACGTCAAATTAAGTAAAATCGCGACGTCGTCGCCGCGACCGCGCACGCTGCTCATGGGGAAGAATCCCTCTGTGGTTCGAAACTAGTAGAGCTTTTTTAAGTATATTCACGTGAGTAACCCGCGAATTTACTTAATTTAGTTAGTCTCACGATAGTTATTATAAAAATAACATCACGCCTTTTATACCCAATGCGGTAGGCAAGGGTGCACATTACGGCACTTAGGTAATGCCACTGTACAATATAACACTCACTTTTCAATATTTATGTTATGAATCCTATGTAATAGCAGGTGAATCTATTGCCATATACCGTGCACAATTCCAGATACCGTGTTACTAGTGAGATTTTTTTTTAAAAACCGACCCTTTCCCGCTGGGCGCACTTTCGACCACTCGGCCAACGAGGCAGTCTCGTTGCGAAATATTATCAAGAGCACGTGTATCCATGTAAAAAAAACGAAGCCATAATATTGCAATGCCCAACGTATGTATAACACCATTGCCATTCATTCCAGCACATTGACAGAATCGTGAAAATGAACAATTATGACACTACCATGGAAAATATGAGACAATTTTGATACAACTGCAATAGGCACAGGTGTGACTTAAATATA